TATATATATATATTACATACATACACGTATATAAATGAGAAACATACCTTTAGTAGACATGTGTTACAAGACCTAGGAATAAAAAATCAAGAAATTAGAGTAAAGATTATCAAACAAAACTAAAAATTATGAATAATATGTGAAGTTCAACATCAAACACTAATGCACGGTATTGCAAGCAAAATCCAACATTTCAACAAAAGTAATCCACAGATACTTTTGTTTTTGTTGATATATAATATTTTCAATTAGGACTTAGGATTCTAGCTTGTCTGTCAGACCTCTAGTTCCTGATCCTCTTCCGAGAGCTTCGGCTTCTTGTTTCATGGATTATTATTGTATGTGATCTGATGCAACCCTTGAAGCTCTGATTTGCATGTATATACGTTGCATATAAGCAGACAATTAAGTTTTTTTTTTCTTTCAATATCAGTAATTTTAGAATCGCTGAGAATTACTTAATACTTATATTAAACACGCCATCCATTATAAAAGACAATCGAAACATAATTATACTAATATGCTTGATGTATTTCATCAATGAATATTATACTAATATGATAAAGTATATTCTTGATTAATGTTTGTTGTCCAGTAAAGAATGTTATTTTGTAATGTACTTAACACAAACTAAATCATATAATAAGTAATATTAGTGAGATTATAATACTTTGACACTTAAAAAAACAAAGGTAGTTATATATGGACATTCTAGAAAGGAAAAACTAAAATCACTTGTTTGATAATAAATGTTTTATGAATTCTAAATCGTATTCTACATCATCAAAGAGAAAAACGCAAAAGATAAAAAATGATATAATATGATAGGTGATACGGTGTGACATAAAAAAACGAATAAATAATAAGATATCAAATAAAAAAATATTAATTCTATCATAATGTTACTTTTTTTTTTATATTTTTTTTCAATTCATGAAAAGCACATAATTTTAGTAAATATATAAAGTGATTATAATGAGTTAGAGGTGACAAATGAGTTACACACCTTGATGTGGGTCATCTAATATAGATTGTGTGAACTATATAGTGAGTTGGGCTTAAAAAAAAGTCCAAATTCAAATTGAACCTATAAAATGAAATAATGTCTAACAAAACCCCTATTTTTTGGGCCATTAGCGGGCTTTGCACTCTAAATTGGATTGTGATTAGATTAGGTTCATGATATATACACCTCTTTTTTTTCTATAAGTACACCTCTTTTTTAAAAAAATAATTAAAATTTTAAAATATTCTTAATTTTTTGTTTTAAATTTTTTAATTTTACATCCACAACATTTAATTTATTACTTTTTTTTCACATATCTTTTCTCCTTTTTTCAATTTTTACATGCACTCCCTTATTTTTCCTTCACTCCACTTATTTTGGTAGCATGTGAAAATTAAAAGAGAAAAAAAAAGTGTGTGAATAAGAAGAAGAAAGTAGCAAATTGAAAGTTAAAAGTGTAAAATTAAATTATTTCTTTTTAAATTATAATATTTTATAATTTTTTTAAAAGAAGGAGGTGTACTTATAAAAAAAAAAAAAAGGTGTATATATCATGAGCTTTAGATTATTATAAAAAGATCTGCACTCAAGTTAGGTTTTGACTTCAAATTTGAAGCCCAAAGCCTTTATTTTATTAGGCTATTTCAAGTTGACCTCACCAGCCTTATCCATCTTGTCATCCATAAGAAGTATATATTTTGATCAAATTATTAAATCTTGCAAGATTTTTGGTTTTATAGGTGGTTGTATTTATTTTATTAAATCTTATAACTTTTTTTAATGTGTTATTTGTAATTTTCAAAGTTTTGTTAGTAGTATAAATATATATATATCTTTTTTTTCAAAGAACACCAATCTTTGCAAAAATTTCATTATCTACTATTACCTTCAAGTTTTTTTCGTTCAAAATTATTAAAAGTAAGGGCGAAGATAGTTCAAACTTTTTTACTAACTCGACGTAGTATGATATTATAACATGTTAAAAATTTAAAATTATATACAATATATTTTAATAACAAATTTAATTTATACTTGATATTGTCGCAACTTAGTTAAGATATATAATAAGGTTATGTCATTATTCTCTTGAAATTAGGTATGAAAACGGAGTGGGTCGAGTACGAATTTCATGATATCCATTTCTGTTCTGTGACTCAAATTCATCTTCGTACTCGTATCTGTTGGGTATATAATTTTTATCTCCATCCTCATCCCCGTTGGCTATCGGGTATACCCGTATCCGTACCCATAAAAAACTTTTTTATTTATTTTTTTGTAAAAAAATACACAATATTTTTAAATTATTTTTTTATTATATTACAATTATAATTAAGTTATTTCTCTATCTTATATTTTAATCAAGAGACTTCTTAATAATTAAACAACTATAAATGTTTCATATTATAATAAATAATTATACATAATAAAATATTAAAATTCTTTAACACAATTAAATTGGGGTGGGTATTAAACCAGGGATGAGGACGGGTACGGGGACAGATAAGTATATACCTGTACCTATATCCGTACCCAATTTAATATATCGAGTTTTACCTATACCCGTACCCGATTAAATCGGTTATTTCCTGTCAAAATTGGGACGGATTCAGATATTACCTATTGGTACAAGTTTATTTGTCATTCCTACATGTGACAATCTAACATTTATGAGATGAAAAAAATAATAAAAAATTAATATATATATATATATATATAAATATTTTAAGTATATTTGTAATCATATCTAAGAATTCAATTATTTTATGAATTTTTTAGGGATTATGATTATATAGGTGATTTTAAATTCACTGTTTTTATTTACAGAATGGAAAAAGTAAAAGAATTAGAAAACTTTGGATAAAGGAATAAAGTAAGTCCCTAACCTAAAATTTGTCTTCCTCATGGCTTTACCAGAGGTTCGTTACCCGTCATTCTCTTTGTTTTCGCTATCACACAACAAAATTGTTTCTGTTTCTTTTCTCACTTCGATCGATCATTTGCAGATTGGGTTGAAACTGCTTCTTTCTTCCGTTAATTCCAGCATTGTTGCTCGGGCAGCATGGTATGCGTGCTTCCCCTTCAATCAATTTTTTATTTTTTTAATTATAAAAAAACTTTTTTTTTTTTGACTGAACAAACACCCTTTTCAGTGATGATGTTGAGTTACTTGTTATAGCTGTTCTATAGGGCTTGCGCTTCCCGTGTATTCCACGTTTAAAGCTATTGAGAACAATGACCCATATCAGCAACAAAGGTGCCTATTGTATTGGGCAGGTTCTAATTTTTTCTCAACCTCCGCTTCATTGTTATTGGTGATTAATAAAATTGATCAATTGTTTTTTTTTTTTTGTTAGTGTTATTTCTTTATTAATTTGATTGGTATTAGTGATGTATGTTAATGCCTTTATGATGTGTGGAATACATATATTGAGGTAACGAGTTTTGACTTAAGAGGACTATTAGGTTGCAATTTGCTTTTTCCTTGTGCAACTTATGAAATTTTTGGTAGTTGTTGTATTGTGAAGTTATATATCGTTGGAAGTTTTTTGACATTCATTGTTTGTGATTTTCAATGAACACGTTTGAAGAATTCTCAAGTTAGTGGGATGGGAGTAAGAGTAACTTCCGGCAGTTATCTGTTCTCTTTTATAATCTGGGTTTGTTAATCTTGATGGGCTATTATTTACTTGGATTAGTTGATTGATTTCATTAATATGATGGATTTTTCTGCATGTGTATTAACACCAATCTCTCTTGTGGTTTTCAGCTTATGGGTCTTTTAGTGCTGCAGAAATGTATGCTGAAAATTTACTTTCCTGGTATGGGCAACTTCTTGTGTTTTTATTGTTTATAAGTAATTGAGGTTTCTTTCTTCTCTTTTGCATGGAAAATTACCTTGTATCTATTTCTGATCTTCATTGCAAACAAAGTTATTTCTATATTTTCTTCACTTCTCTTGTGATCCCACATCCCAGTTGTCTGATATTTATGATCTTCTGAATGACTGAACTGATTAACATTAAAGATTTAGTTCTGATTTATTTTTATTTGCTTGCACATTTGACTCAAAGAGTTATGATCTAACAAGGATTGTTTGCCATATTTAAATAGGATTCCATTTTATTATCACTTGAAGTTAGCATTTCTTGTTTGGCTACAGCTTCCTGCTATCAATGTAAGCTTAACTGAACTGCTGTACTTATTGACTTTCTGCTATGCTTTGTGAATTTGCTTAGTTAGTTAACTTATCTTTGTTGTTTTATTCTTGTATTGTTATTTATAGTTCTTAAGGGAGATGTCTTTTGTTCCATCTTGTACTCCTTCCCAATTGTTCTCTAATAAAATTTGTTCTTTATCGAACATGAGAAATAAATAAACAAAACCACATGATACTTGTTGAACAGGGTGCAAAACAACTGTATTCTAGTCACCTGCGTCCATTCCTGTTGAAACATCAAGCTAGAATGGATCTGATTGTCGAATTTGTGTATGGTGAATTGGTAAGAAGTTGTTGATAGATTTCATTTTTGTCAAAAATGCATTTTTCTTATCTGGTTCGATTTTCTAATTGTGGATTATTATTTGACTGTTAGGGGCAGAAGAATCTTATTAATGTTTTTAAATTATTATTGTTGCCCATGGGAATTTGGCTAGGTATTGTTTGTATGCCATTGACAGTGAGTTAAGGTGGTTCTCACCAAATTTATTTTATGAATTGCACAGGAATGACTTGGCAATCTTCCCCCATTTTTTTATGTTGTTTCATATAATATAGTAGCATATATCATATCATACGCAAATTTATTAGGTACCATTGTATCATAATAAATAGAAATTCTTCTGTTAAAGTATAATGTTATTAATTGATTTCTGACCTTGCAGTCTAAAATTGTTAGTGGATACCAAGCAGAATTGCAGTTTGCAAAAACTCTTGTAGTGAAGGTGTTAATGACAGGTATGCATGTGAACTCCATAACTCTATATATGCCTTTAAACTCTCCATTTCAATTCCAATCTGTTCAAAAAGAAAACAAAATAAGTCGATGGAAAATCAACACTAGTTTAAACCATTTTGCTACCTATTCTTTGTTCTGGATATATTATATTTAGTAGGTATCGAATATGTCGTCATTAGAATCTTGGGAACTTAACACTATTTTGGTATTACCAGACATAGTGGTGTAGATAGTTATTTAAAATATGTAATTTTACTAGGGAATTTTAATTTATATGCTCATTTACTCTTATTTACTGTGGCCGTAGTATGTGGACTTATGGTTGGTTTCTTATGTCATCGCATGAATTGATTTTCCTCAATTATGAAACACATTTGGTTTGTTATTGATTTTTCAGCTAAGAAATTTGTATAATCATTTGTTTATTTTTTGCATCAGCTACTCAGATGATTAGGAATCTCATTCATCCAGTTGGGAGGGAGTCAAATCGCATTGAACCCTTTAAGAGGCAGGTTCTGGATTCAGAATCAGAAGATGATTAAAACATTTTTCTTTCTCATTATTAGACAAAATTAGGTTGGCTAGTTTTTAATGCACGGATGTTATGATTTGCTTGTGGTGTGCTGAGTTTTGCATTATTAGTTTCTTTTGGTAATTACTAATTTTTTTTTAGTTTTATTTATTATTTGATTTCTACCAAGCTATACATAGGAAATAGACATTTAATGTAAATACTGATTTTTCATAGCAATTGTCTTCGGAGTATTATACATAGTGAGGACCACATTTGTGCTTGCTGACCTGTAAGCATCGAACAACTATATGATTATAATTTATGCATTTTATGCTTTCGAGTTTCGACAAACGGTCTTGTGAATGTTCGAGGATTCATCATTCATCTATTATTGTATGTTTGACTTTGAAGGCTTGAGCATCTTAGTTTTCGTTTGACAGATATACAGAATCAATTCCTATGATACATTTTAATATACAGTATATGGTAAAGATAAATTTAGGCATTTTTATCAAATATTTTGTGTAACTGGATTGACTAACTTAAAAGCTTACTTGAACAAAAAAAAAAACTTGATTAGTAAAAGCATTTATTTTATGTAGCATTTTTTGAAATTTTATTTGATAGAGTTTAAATTTATAAGTTTTTTTATTTTTCATTTTTATCTTATTTTTTATTTAAATTTCTTTGTTTTTATTTTTATTTAATTTTTTTATGTTGAGATTCTTGAGAAACTCTCATGACTTGTACACTTTCTCTCACCTCTTTTTTACTTTTGTAAAATATGCGACAAAAAAATATGAAAATTATAATATAAATTCATCGACCCTATTTTTATGTTGTTCTTTTGAAGTAGGTTAAATTTGACTTTTAGTTTTTCTATTTTAAAATAAGGACATTTAGTTTTCTTATTTTTAAAAGAATAAAACTTGTTCGTTAATTGTTAAATTTTGATATTATTTGATGATTTGTCATTATTTAGTAATGTGATATTTAATGACATGATATATATGAATAAAAATTAAAATATATCTTTCAAAAAAATTATTTATATTTTTTTGAATAATTAATATTTATTTTAAATTTAAGGATCTTATTTACAGTTTTTTTTATTATTTTATTTTATTTTTAAATATTATGTTATTAATGTTTCATCACTTAAATATAAATAAATATTAAACTTTGATGATTAGTAAATGTCAATTTGATAAAAGGACTAAAGTTGTGTTTTTAAAATTAGAAGAACTAAATACCTCTGTTTTAAAATTAAAAAAATTAAAATTATAGATTAATAAAAATAGAGATTAAAAGTGTAATTTAATTTTTAAAATAATAATTATTTTTTAATGTTGATGAGTAAGTTTGCTTTGATTAATTCAATATGTGAAATTTATCTATTTGGATTTATGATAATTATGAAACTTAGTTAATGTTAAAATCAAATTGAGATATAAATATGTTGAATTTCGTGTGAAATATGAGTCTTACTAACGTACAAAAAAGAATCTGATATTAAGTTTTTCATTTTCTGATTATGTGTGGATCTCATGTTTCATGTTTCATGCGATTTTCATGTCAAAATTAGTTAGATTCTATAGTTTTATATACGTAATCGCACCAAATGGGTAAAAAATGGTACACCAAATTTGAAAATTGTCATGCATAAAATAAAATAACATTGTCTGAAACTTAGAATTAAAATACTAAAATAAATCTTTTAAATGATAAAAGAGGAAAAACAAATTTTGATGATAAAGACGAAAAAGGAAAAAGTGTATTCTAGACTCTAGTTGTAGCCTGCTATTTATTAGTGCAGTGAATTTTAACTAAAATTAACTGCGGATTTATGTTTGTACTAATTTTAATCGGAAAATATTAGTCAACTGTTGATTCCAGCTCTTGATATAAGAAGAATCTGAAAAGGTTGTATCCCAACAAGAATCTCATCTCAAGGTACAATGATAGGACGCAGAGACAGAGACGGACCCTTGATGAGGAGCAACAGCACTCACTCTCTACGCAAATCCAGAATCATATCTGCAGTCGCAATTGGGGTTCTTATTGGCTGCATTTTCGCTTTCTTGTTCCCCAATGGCTTCTTCGTCTCCGACACTGTTATTAGCCCTAATCGCAATCTTCCTCTCGCGGGATCCAGGACCCAGGTTCCGTTTTCCTCAAAGACTTTGCCTTTTTCTGTTTTCCTTACTGTTTCAGCTTTTGGGTCTCATCACTTGGGTGATTATCGTTGACCGAGAATTCCCAATGTTCTGACCAGCTCTTTCTCTTGTGTTGATGTTGAATTGTTGTGTTTGATATTGCTGATTCTACTGGTTTCGGATCTGTTGGCCCCGTTATTGCCCTGATGAAACAGGGCGAACTTCTTTCCTCGTTTTATAGATTTTTTAACGATTGTGTTGTCACTTTCGCTTGGCATTTGTTGAATATGGATAATAGCAAGGCAAAACTTAGATGCAGTTCCTTAAATACATGATCTTGGCTCAGAATTGTAGATTCATTTTGATGATCTGTATTGTAAAGATTTGTATTGAAAATCAATATAGGTATAGGAGGTGAAACTTCAACTATTCTAATTGGAAAACAATGCTAAAAGCACGAAAGTAACGAGCCAAATTTAGTACTAGTTTTCAACCAGTGGTTCAAATGACCCTTTTTACAAAGATTAGTCGATCTTCAAGAAAAAACTGCTCAGGTCTGGTTGATTTCTGTATCTAGGGAGAAAAAAAAATACTCTCCTGGCTAAGGCTTTGATGTCAAACTGGAATTCTGTTTGTAAGATGATTGGAGATGTGGATGATGTTAAGTTTTTCAAGACTGCTTTAAATTCAATCCGGGCATAGTGCACAAGTCTACCTACTATCTTTTTCCTCGATTTGTTTAGGCAGTATTTTATCTTTGTTTGTTTGGTTTACAAATGGTTTTTCAGGGGTTGCAGGATTAAGTATATGAAAGAAGAGCTCTGTTGCATAACAGCATCATTTTTGTTTTGGATTTTGTTTTAGCAGGAAAATTCAGCTGGATGTGAATCCTCGGATCGTGTCAACATGTTGAAATCAGAGTTTGTGGCGGTATCAGATAAAAATGCTGAGCTGAAAAAACAGGTGAGGGAATTGACTGAAAGGCTTCGGCTTGCAGAGCAAGGGAAAGACCAGGCTCAAAAGCAATTCCTTACATTAGGTAAACAGTATAAAGCTGGACCTTTTGGTACTGTAAAGGGATTAAGAACCAACCCTACTGTCGTTCCTGATGAATCTGTGAATCCAAGATTGGCAAAGATATTAGAGAAAGTTGCAATTAAACGAGAGATTATAGTTGCTCTTGCAAACACCAATGTGAAGGAGATGCTGGAGCTCTGGTTTACCAATATCAAGAGAGTTGGCATAACCAATTATCTGGTTGTTGCTTTAGACGATGAGATTGCAAAGTATTGTGAATCAAATCAAGTTCCAGCGTATAAAAGAGATCAACATGATGGTGTTGATGTCATTGGAAGAACAGGGGGCAACCATGCTGTCTCTGGTCTTAAATTTCGTATTCTAAGAGAATTTTTGCAGTTGGGATACAGTGTTCTTCTATCAGATGTTGACATTGTATATTTGCAGAATCCTTTCGATCATCTATACCGGGATTCAGACGTGGAGTCCATGAGCGATGGTCATAATAACATGACAGCTTATGGCTTTAATGATGTCTTCGATGAACCTGCGATGGGTTGGGCTCGATATGCTCATACCATGAGGATATGGGTTTTCAACTCTGGTTTCTTCTATATCAGACCAACAATCCCTTCAATTGAGCTTTTGGATCGTGTGGCAACACGGCTTTCAAAGGAGAACGCGTGGGACCAGGCTGTTTTCAACGAGGAACTATTCTACCCCTCACATCCTGGTTATGATGGGCTTCATGCTGCCAGAAGAACTATGGATATGTATCTCTTCATGAACAGCAAGGTTCTGTTCAAGACAGTGAGGAATGATGCTAACCTGAGCAAATTGAAGCCAGTAATTATTCATGTGAATTACCACCCTGAAAAGCTTCCCCGAATGAAAGCAATTGTTGAATACTACATTAATGGGAAGCAGGATGCTCTCAAACCTTTCCCTGATGGCTCAGAATGGTACCCTTGCTTCTGCAGCCGATGCTATATTCTCTTGCTGTCTCAATTGTTCAGAACAGTTTTACAGTAGATTTTGTTAGTTACAAAGCATATGTGTAGGTCTAAAATGACAGCATTTTATGAGCACATTGAGTTATGCTTTTTGCCCCATTCTGAGATGGTTCAGTTTTTCCTTCTTTTATTCGTTTTTGGTGCTTGCTCTTGGTGGGGCAGACAGCGATTTCTTCTGTAACATTTGTTGTATGCTAATTTGAGGTTTTTGTTGTTTTTATCTTTACCGACCCCATTATACACATTGGAAAACATATACATATATTTAGGCCTTGGAGACCTGTGTTATGTTAGGGATATGAAAAACCCTCCGGTTAGGTTCTTCTTCTACCAGTACCTGACAAATGATATGAGTGGACTTAACAGAGATTTTGAATTTTGTTAATTGGAACCTCAAATTCTCAATCCTGTACCAAAGTGATACTGGAATAGGGCAGGGAATGATCAAACCTAAACTGAAAGGAAGAACTAATCGTGTACTGAAATATTTATGAATTTTTTGAGTTTAGCTTATTAAAAGTTTGTTTAAATTTGTTTATTTAACCAAACAAACAAGTCTAAACTTATAAAAAGATTCAATTATTTAAATGATTCAAGTTGAAGTTTTATAGGGATTTTTCTATGCATTATCATGTTATAGGTCTTGTTATAAGTCTTTTGACTTTATCGATTATTAATTTTTGTCGAGAAACTTAGTTGATAGTTGTTAGTAAAGTTTTTCTTCTTTAATCACATTTTCTTATATTCACAAGACTTGAATTTAGACTTTGTTTTAGGGATCTGAATTCAATTTTACTTGGACAAGCATAATGTTGGTTAAAATGTCGCAGGTTTAGTTTAAATTTTAGCATTTTTTTTAATTTTTATGTTCAAGAAAAACTTTAGGTTTTGCATCAATAACTTGCAAATAAGTCATATATATATATATATATATATATATATATATATATATATATATATATATATATATATATCGATTAGATAACTGTAATTTTAGTTGGTATATTTTTCATAATTTTGAAAATTGGACCAAACCGTTTAGTTGGATCTGTTTGATTGGAAATCGATCTTAAACCAACTCGGTTAGCTTAAAGAACTGTTTTACATCAAACATGTAGAACTAGTAAAATTGGTCAAACCTGTATGAATCAGTTTAATTAATTTTTAAAATTTAATTTAAAATATTTTTAAATAAAATAGTATTTAATAAGAAATTATAAATTAGACTAAATTATTTTTAATACTTATTTCATAAATATAATTTAATCATTTATGTTAATTTATAATTTTTAATATCTTTATTTTTTTATAGTTTGTATTATATTAATCTGATATTTTTTAATTCTAGATGTAAACTTATTATTAATAGACATTATTATATTTTATTATAACTTAAACTTATATATTATATTATATATTTTAAAATTTTACGTATATATAAATGTTAAGAATTTATAAATAACGTTTTATTTTAATTTGTAGTGTTATAAAATTGTAAAATTTTATTTATTTAATATGAATTTTGTATTAGTAATAATTATTATAATTGACATCACTATCGACACATTATCGCTATAATCACTACTACTGACATTACTGTTGCAACCACCACTACTTTTGTTGCCACCACCATCATCAATGCAACAATAGTGGCAGTTGTACCATCTCTGTCATTGTTATTGATACCAACATTGTCGTTACACCATTGTCATCATTGCTATCATTGCCACCATTGCCTTAAGTGGTGGTAGCAATAGCAATGATGAGGATGATGGTGATAGTAGTGGTGCTAAGGAGAGGTGATGATGTTGAAACGTTAGTGATAGCGACAACAATGATGAAGACAATGATAATAATATTGATAATAACAATAATTGTAGTGGAAACAACTATGACAACGACAATAGTAGTAACAACAATAGCAAGGATAGTGGTAGTGTTGGCAATTGTGTCAGTGGTAATGGTAATGGTAATGAAGACAATCAGTGATGATTGTAGTGACAATGAAAGTTATGATGACAATTATATAATGATGACAGAACATGGTAATTTCGTTTGTTGCATTTTAATATGAATTATCTATTTTAAACTAATAGTTATTATCAATAGTTCACACTTCTTATATTAAGAAGTTTCTTACTTGAAACATCCTCTCTCTCTCTCTTTCTCTTTTTCTTTTTCTCTCTCTCTCTCTCTCTCTCTCTCTATATATATATATATATATATATATATATATATATACACACACACACATACATAGGGATGACTCAAGGTAAGAACACTTGTTAATATGAGAACACGAGTAAATTAATAACAATCTTTAGATTAAAAGAAGTTACTTTGTACTGTCCTCATCGTATTTTTCTCTATTATTGTTGTCATCATCCTCGTTATTGAAACCGTCACCACCACCACTTCCATTGCACTACTGCTATATTATCACTATTGTTGTCTTCATCGCTATTGTCGTTGTCGCTTCTACCATTATCGCCACCACAACCACCACCATGATTGCCACCATCATTATCATCGTTACCACCAACACCATCGTCATTATTGCCACTACCACTAGTGTTGTTGTCACCATTGCCGATGGCAATAGTGATAGTGGCAACAGTGGTGCGATAGTAATGATAGTAGTATGGACAACGATAATGATAACGATAGTAGTAGTGGCGATAGTTATGTGACAAAGGTGTGATGGAAGAGAAGGTAATTAAGTTAACAACAATAATAAATATGAAAAAAAATTACAATGGTAATAATACGTGATAATTTTATATATAATTTTTTAATCTAAATTATTTATTGTTGTTATTATTAGCAAATATTCTCACTAGAGTCGCTTCCTCTCTCTCTCTTTCTCTTTCTCTCTCTCTCTCTCCCTCTCTCTCTCTCTCTCTATTATCTAGACTTACTTCGTTCAATAATAACTCATGTTCTACATCAAATTTCAACGATCAAACAGTTGAATTAAAAAATTTTAATGCATAAATCAAGTCTGCAACTTTTTAGAAAATTTGAAAATCATTTAATACTTCATTTCATTAATTAAAATTGACAGATAATCATAAAATCATTTTATACATTGATTTGAATTAATGAAACAAACTATTAAATGATTTTAAATTTTTTTAAAAATTTGCAGATTTAATCTATGCATTAAGAACTTTAAATTCAATAGTTGGATCGTTAAAATTTGATGTATAATATAAATTATTGAATGGAGTAAACGAATCTCTCCCTATATATATATATATTATTGTTTTGTTCAATGTCAATTTTCAAAAGTTGTTGAAGACCTAAGTCTAAGTTTTGATATGTTTTAAATGAATGATTTTTCTTCAAAATAATTTATCATTAAAGATTTCATTGTCAAACGCAATTCATATAAAAAAAATTATATTGTTTAATAATAATTTTTTCTCCTTGTAATATGACATTTTTTATTTTGGTCACCGACATTAATTTGCCTTTATTAAGTGATGACGTGCCTTGCAAAAATGCATCTATGCATGTTAATTAGGATTACATGTCAATATCGTATTATTGTTTGTTTTTTTTAGGGGATCATATTATTGTTAAAGACATTAAAAAATTATAATGACCATTTTGAAAAAGAAAAATATTTTAAAAAGATTATATATATATATATATATATATATATATTATAAAGATAAAAAATAATTAAGTCTAATAATTAAGAACAATAGTAATTATTGAAGTTAATTGATAAAACTCATGTAAATTGGTATATAATGTGTAAACAAACTCATTGGTAATGTGTTTGACTATACGTATTTGAAATTGATCTTGGATTGATGTGATCATATAGAATTGATTTAAAGTGAATGTGAGTGAACATCTCCAAATAAATCTTCTTCAGTGTGTACCTATTGTAGCAAAAGAAAAATGTACAATCTGTAGTGGTGGATAGTGAAAAGAAAAAAAATTTCTTTGAATTTGTGCTAATGGCAGTGAATGACAAGGTACTTTTTAGTGAGATTAGGTCTTCGTGAGAAATCTAGGAGACTTTATAAAGAATGTTTGAGTTAGTGACAAATGACAATAGTAAATATGATTTTTTTTTTTCCACAATGGTTTTTCCAAGCAAGATGCGAGAAGGGACGAGAGTGTCTCAACGTCAACACAAACAAGATGAAGAAATTTTTTTAACAATTTTTAGCCATGAGAATTAATATGGTTAATTGTGATTACTGATTAAAGGAAAAAATCTTCTTACTGGGAATTTGTAAAAATGCTGTGGAAAAATAAAGCAGAAAAGGGGAAGAGGAAAGCAAAATAAGCACATACAACAAGTTTCACAAAACTTCATAACAAAGTTTCAATGTCAACCCAACAAACTAGGTGGCATGATTAAAATATTATGTCAATATTTTGAAAGCTACCAGATGAAAACATTATAATGCCCCTGCCATATTCATACTTTGGGGGTTCTATAAGCAAAATCATGTCTATGTTGTAATGTGAAAATGATAGATCCTAAAAAGTTGTAATTTGAATCCTTAATTGTTGTTTCCGCTTCCAACTGAGTCGGTAAGTTGTTCATCGACCATAAGACTCACTATTGTTTCTTGACCATACTTCTCAATGAGCTCTTCCTGTTCCCAAAACAAACCAAATCAGATGCTGAAGTTAGTACTTGCAACTTAGTTGAAAAAATAAAACACAGCAAAGCAAGGGAAGATAAAACTTGTTCTATGTTTTACACAAAATTTGCTAATAGTAGAGAAAGGAAATCCAAAGGTATGCCACGTGTCTCAATTTAGATAAAATTTGTTCTATGTTTTAGTTCTCATATATAATAAGTTGGATTTACTCAAATTGCTTTAAAGATAGAACGTAACATGAGGACCATTCAATTTTTTTCTTTTATGGGAATTTAAGTACTTAAGCCACTGAACTATTAACCTATAGTAACAGGTAAATATATAACTGAACAAATAGAGCTTTAAATGGCATACCAGTATGGAATTGTTTTCTTCTTTGAGCTTCACACACTTATCAGAAAGATCCACAAGTTGTTTCCTGAGTAGAGAGTTTTCGGCATTAAGATTGTCCACAGAATCAATTAGCCTTTCACGTTCTTTCTGCCAAGGTGAAACACACAAAAAATGGAAAACATTATAAGAGAAATCAACTTTTAAGGAAATGATAGAGGTGTCAAGAAGTTTTATTTTGTTTTCAGGAGGAACCTATCATGAGTGGTGTGACAAAAATGAGAGTGAAGCACAAGGAAAAATGGTCATTTCTCCACTGGTTTGTCACATATGATAGAAATTTTCATTGCTCTAGTTAAAAAGTTCAAGTATGCACAATTAGAATGATAAATGAAGGCAACTGAAGAAAATAAATGTTTTCTTTTTTATTAACGTATGATCTAGAATATATCAAAATAGGAGTATTATGTTTTAGGAATCTATTATGAAAAATAGGAGTATTATGTTTTTTTGTTAAAAAAGTAAAATAAATAACTACACTTTTTAGGAATCTATTATTAATTTTTTTTATGTACTATTATGCCACATTAGCCATTTTCGACCATCATTTTCATACAATTCCTATTTTTTCATCTCCCTAAAATGAAACAATCTTTTTAGTTTCTTTCAATAGAAATATTATTATACAGCTTAATTAATGTGTCAATTTCACGTTCTTCACTCTCAACTCTTTTGTTAAGTTGTTGCGTGAGCATGGTAGTGGTTTCATAAGAGAGGGATGGATATAAGAAAGTTCTCAAAAGCCAATTGTCGACAACTTCATAATCAATTCCAATGTATTTCTATTTTAGTATTTTGTGTTTTATTCATATTAGTATCTATATTAAAGTTTAAATTTATAAATTGAAACATCTATATATATATATATATATATATATATATA